GTGTAAATCAAAGTAAAGAGAGAGGAATCACCACATAAACTGTTTTTTAGACAACTTGACTCCCCAACATGTTGTAAGCTTGTTTTTTTCAGTGGGCAACACACCATTTTGAAGTCATTAGAGGGAGGTTAATATGTTTTTTCATTCGTTTCTCACATGTTTTGTGAATTGCTTTTATACTGGAAATTTTCGAGTAAGGTGTGTGAGAGATCTCAACGAGGTGTGTCTCGTGCTCTGCATTATGCGGGTTGAAAATTGCTGGTTGTGCATGCAAGCCTCTTTGACTATTGTCTATTGTCTTTTGATTCTCATTATGAAGTATTTTCTTTTAATATTTTGAACTTAAGCTAATTCTGTTATTGTTTTTAGTATTTTTTTCATTATCACATGTTTTTTTTATATCTAATTCATTATTTTCATTTTTTTTTTTCTCCTCTTGTCTTTGTGCACAAGGCCCTTAATTGTCTTCAGTATAGGTGATTGCTTGTTGTTGGCTGTCCAATGCTTAGTTTTATCTAGTCATAAGGAGACATTGGGTCCATATTTTTAAGTTGCCTGTCACCCTTCACCCCTTGCCCCTTATAGTGTTTTGTAGTTATGTATTACTGAAATTAACAGTCGTCCATGTCTAGGGAAATATATAATGGTCGAGAAATCACATTTTTATTATACTTAATCTTTTCTATTATTGAGTTGATAATCTGAGTAATGATATAGCTGTTATGGAAATCTGTCACAAGTCCTTCACAACTGATTGCGTTTATCTACATGTTGTGGTAGATTTGCACTGCCTTTTGCAGGAGCACAAAAAGTAGCCTTTGTTCTTTCTTGTGTAATTTCATTTAGGAAGATTTCTGAAATGCATTAGTAAGCATCAACATGAGTTCTCCTAATGATCTTTTTGTACTATGTGAAATTTGCTGAAGAAAAAGTACAGTAAGATTATTTTTGCATCCCACAAGTGAATGCACATTGCTAGGCTAGTGTATAGTGTTTGAATTTCCTTTTTTTCTCTTTATTACTGGTGTAACTGGTGTGTAGATGCAGTTCTGATACCTGTGAGTAAAACAGTAGTTACATTTTTGTATTTTTATGTAGATGCAATCTTTAAAATGATGTTCATACTGAGAGGTCATTCATTATTATTGGACTAGGAAGTTTATATTGCCCTGTAAAATACCAAAAAAATTGTTGTCAATTGTAGCTCGCACAAATTATTTTTAGGCCATGCATGACATTACAGATTTTGAATTTTCTCTTATGTTGTAATTTATGTGATTGCCAAAAAAGTGGACATTTATATCTAATATCATTTCTATTATTACTATATATATAATATATATATATATATATATATATATATATATATATATATATATATATATATATATATGTATGTATGTATGTATGTATGTATGTATGTATGTATATATATGTATAATATGTATATATGTACATATATATATATATATATATATATATATATATATATATATATTATATATATATATATATATATATATATATAATATATATATATAATATATATATATATATATATATATATATATATATATATATATATATATATATATATATATATGTATAGTATATATATATATATATATATATATATATATATATATATATATATATATAGTATATAATATATATATATATATATATATATACTATATGTATGTATATATGAATATATATATATATAGAGATAGATAGATAGATACATACAAAGATATAGATGTAGATATATATGCTTATTTATACACACACACACATACATACATCTTATGATATTAGTATTTTTATGTAAAACTATCATTGTTCTAAATTTGTTGCTTATGAAGGGGCCTTGGAAGCTATTAGTTTTTAGTAATTTAAGGAACATGAATAATTTATTAACTCAACAGTTTATGTTGTACTGTATCAATTTGTTCAAAAGGGTAGATTTATCATATCATGTTGGAACCAATATAGGATGTGATAGTTATCATTTTATTCTGTTATTATTTCCTGAATTTTTGTTTTAGATTTTTGTGGATTTTGTGATATCTTGTGGTCATCAAACTGACACAATATGTTGGATTTGTAGATCAGTCCCCGACATAGAGGTAAATAATTGATGGATCTTTTCCCCAGAATCCTCTAATGCGAATTGTAATAAGGTGTTTTGAGGCTTTATTTTTTGAAGAAAACCTTTGTAAGTAGATAATTTAACTGATTTCAGAATTAATATTATGATGTAGGAGAGTCCTATTCGCATGAGTATTGTCTTGTATGGATCATTCATTCTATGGAAAAAGGATTAGTAAATTATTATAATTATTATCAACAGATACATTTGACTTTATCTAATAATTACTTTTTTATTTGACATGGTACTTATCACCATTGTCCCTTCCTTCATCACCATCATAATTAATTTCATTAGAGATCTTAATATAACCAACAATGCTTTATTTTGACAATTCCTGCATCATTTTTTTTCCAGCCAGCCAACAGTCATAAACAAATTCTTTATAAATATCAAGATCTTAGAAGTGTACTCTATAAAAAAAAGTTTAAGCAGTATTGATATGTTTACCTTACATCTGGTCATGGCCTTGTAGCTGATTTATTGATACTGTTAATTAGGGAGCAGAGTGTCTCGGATTTTATTGTGAAAGAGGGGCTCTTAAGGTAATTCTTCTTGTGTTATTGTCGTTTTGGGTTTCTAGAAGAAGAGTATTGTTGCATTTTATCGCTACATGTCATGAGATGGTCATTATGAATGGTCATTGGATGGAAGCAGTTGTTAGACAATAAATAAGAATTTCCAGATAAAGCAAAAGAAAGACTTTGGAGTGGCATCTTGTACTGAAGAGGTGAATGAAAATATTGGTGTTGTATGTCATGGGACTCAGTGCAAAGTAAAGCAGTATTAGCCTTGGGAAAGGTTTTCAAAAAGTAAAAAATTGAATAACCTTTTTTTTTCTCGTTCTTTAAAAATTGACTGATTTGATATGCTTTCTAATGAAGCAGTTGAATATGTGGGAAAAAATCTGAGAATGATTGCAGAATTTCAAACTTCATTTAACAGTTGGGATGTATGAAACTGAAAGCTGAATTTCTTTAACTAAAACCTGAAGAGGATATATTCACTATGATGTATATGAACATGAATAAAAAAAAATGAATATCATATTAGCATGGAATTTGATAGCATGAACATTTCATTCATACAAATCAAAGAATCTTGCCTGTTGCATGTGATAAATCACTATCAAATATCATTTAAGCATTTGACATACTGTAACTAAATCTGTGAATTCATTCTGCATTGCATCCTTAGAGCCTTTCAATAAATGTGATATACTAATTTTTAAGGTACTAGGAAATAGATGATAAAATTGACTTGAGATTAATTATGGGAACCTACATATGCTATGAGTATAGTTAAAAAAAGCTAAAAAAAATGCTCATGTTTGACTATTGAATATAAGAATTGCAAGATAGTGTGGGGAAACTTGTATTTGATAAATTTTGACTCTTACTCTCCAATCTCCGTCTCTCAATCTCAACTCGGCACCTTGATTTTGAAACTTCATTGTGGAATAGGTTCTGGGTTATCACAGAAAAGAGTTCTGTGGCACAGTATCTGAGGGTGTCTACTGGGGAAAAGCATTAGAGTTTGAAATAATGTTAGAGAACAGTCATTTGACAGTGTGATGTATGTGTCACTGGATGAAACTGGATAAAATGTATTGGAGAGCTATATGTTTTTTGTGAAATAAGTAATTTTTGTGTTTTGGAGAAGCTGACTGTTTGTAATATTTGAAGCACTGTTGTGTTGTTTGCTGTTGAAACATGTCTAGAGGTTAATTTGGAGATGTAAGTAATTTATGAAGTTTTGTCTGTCTTTGGAAAAAGAAATGTAAAAATTTTGTTTAGGGAATAGTATTGTTATTAGGAAAACAAATATATGTTGCATTTTGTGATGTTTCAGAGAACTAGGGCTTTCAGCAGTCATTTGTTAGGCAAAGGACTCACAGGTCGAATTATTACTGGCAGAGAGTTCCTTATAACCTAGTAAAACAGAAAGTGAACTCAGGTTAAGAAAGTGAGTAAATACTTTGTGTTCATCTAAATGAAAATATCCTATGAGTCCAGTTGCCAGACATTCCTTATATGCTACGACACATCAACTTTTTTTATCTGTAAGCATCAGTTGTTACATTAGGAGTAGTTATAGGACTCTATGTTCTTTGTTATGTATTTCTCATAAACTTTGCTCTGTGAAGAAATATGTTGTATGATGGTTATTTTTAAGAATTTGTATGACAAAAAGAAATTATAAAGCAAGTTAGTTTGGTTTAGTATTGAGATTATAATTATGACTGTATTCACAGATCATAATTCTTTTTCTAATGTACAGTAGACATAACCTTTTAGATAAGATGCATAACAGGTTCTCTATTTCTG